AGCAGGACGGGCTACTTGGCACCAGCGGAGAAAACAGCGCTAGTGATATATATATATATCTACCTGGATCTTCCACGTATGCAAAATGTCTGCCTTTGGCTGGTTTTATAATTTTATAGATGAAAAGGCTGAAATTTGTCACAGTTGGAAGATCCAGGTATATATGACCAGACCCAGTGAAATGAGGTCCTTGTCCTTGACCTTCTGGGTCGGGCTCGGTTCTTTTTCTTGTTTCTCCCTTCTTCCCAGACCAGTTCCGGACCAGTGCATGGCGACCAGCCTCCAAACGGAGCATCCATCCCTTTCCCGACCCGCGCGCGGCTCGCGCCGAGGAATACCTTTTGAAGGTTGGCGCCAACGTCCCTCGCGACGATGGGGTGGATCCGCGGATCGACGAGGGGTCCAGAGCCGTTGACCGTCCAGACGAGCGGGGCCGGGCTGACGGGTGCGGCAGCACCGGTGGTCCGGCGGGTCCGGCCGGGCGTCTGGGGTGTGGCGCCCCACCAAGCAGGGCCGAAAACACACACTCCGGAGGGGAGCGCTGCAGTGTGTGCCTGTGTTTGGAAATGTTTTTTCTTGGGATTCTCCGGATTCCATTTGTTTTCTCGAACTGGGCGAACTCCCCTGGCATGGGGAAGGTGTTAAGTCTTTGGAAGCTTCCCCGGTTCCTTTCGAGACGCCAATCCCCGTTTTGGCGACCACGGCACGAGACCCCAGGGTGGTCACCTACCACTTGGGGCGTCTCCATCGCTATTGAATAGGTTGAAGTCCATTGCTATTATGGCCCTTGGACGGTGGTTTCAGTTACCCAAACTCGGTGACCTTTTTCAAGGAGATGTGCTGGTATTGGTTGATTTTGGGTTGATTGATAGAGGGGATACCCTCAAGATCCCTCAAGTGTACAACGTAAATGGCCAACCCGACCCATCTATTTTTCCGGTTTCTACTGACATCACTGCCCCCACCACCGCCTGAATGGCCCAGGTGAACCAGCCGAACGCGGAGGGCTTGACGCCCCTGGGCGCTGCGACGCAGAACCGACAGGAAGCCACGATGGCGGTGCTGAAGGCTCATGGAGCCCAGTAAAGGACAGCGTAGATCGATACGGCGAGTCGTTGGTTTCCGCACAGGTTCCCCTACTAATTAGCAGTAATTTTTAGCTCTCCGAGCCATCCGAAGATAAAGATTCCCATCTCGACTCCGGTTACACCAAGACAGACTCTTGTGCTTCGTGGGGGTATTCACCCGTCACCTTGTTGAGGTATCAAGCTTCTGGATGCGGATGCTCGTTGCACGTGACTGGTGGAGTCCGGGTGTTCGATTTAGGGGTGTTATGTGAAGCGTTCCGCCTTTGCACTTCCGCCTTTGTTTGGTGCCAGCCCATTTTAAGGATAGAACATGGAGAGCGGATCACATTTTTAATTGTTTCTCACCGCAGTACGCCTTCCAAGACCGACGTTGGTTGACGTGGTGTTGTAGTCTAAAGCCCATGGTAAAACAATGGTCTCTTGCTTGCGATCATTTGCCTCCCTTCCACTATTGTAGTGGGGGTTAACCAGAGACAGTCAATCACTAGAAGGGACCATCATGGTTCGGTAAAGGCTCTTCAAGCCTATATAGGGTCATAGAGTGTCATAGAGGTATCTATCTGGGGCTGGAGCGGATGTACATACGATGACATGGCCGGAATGGCTGGTTTTGCTGGATGGGGGGGGAGTTTCCGGAAAAAGATGTTGGAGGGAAACGACATGGACGGTGGTAAGTGAAGGGCGAGTCCATCTTGGATCGGCACTTAGCGGTGGATGTTTAAGGTGAATTACCCTCCAAAACGAACTTGGACCCTGACGTCCTGGCCGCCAGCCAAGCAGTTGTTTTCCTTTACCAAGCAGTTGTTTTCAGGGTCCATGTTAGTCTCCAAGGGGGTCATGTTGACTGTTGATAAAGACATACACCTCATAGCAGGATGGTTCTTCATCTCGCCACGGTTGTGCAACGAAATTGGCAGACAAGCGCTCCCAGTCCTTTCTTTCAAATCAAGTTCAAATCACCCAAACCCAGTGACACACCGAAACTGATGTCCGAAGCTGGGCTTCATGTGTATGTTTAGCTTGTCACCGTCAGACTGCTTGTGTCCGTGAGCCCACTGGGCCACCGACTGGGCGACCAAGGGGGATAGCCTTTTTAAAGCCAGCTTGGCATCGGTGTCCAAAAAGGACTTGGCGAAGTGGATGGACTCTATGTAATTCTTAATTCGGAAGTCTACCTGGACCCTGAACCCTGAAGCGGTGTGGAAACGGGATGACCTTTCGGGGTTCACCACCTCTGGTCGGACCTTAACACCACCAAAGCAAAGGAAGGTACTTCCCTGACTTCGGTGGTGCGAAGGGAAAGCCGAACTGGACTTCGGATGGGAAGTCATGCTGAAAAATCATAGGATGATGACGTCTTTAAAGAAATTCAACCAGGACATGTCGTGTCAACACGTGCTGTCAACAAGTGTTGAATGTTCATCTTATGCATTTCTAGTGTGATCACCTGGATATGGAAGAATGGCTAGCGGCTAAGGGTCCGGTCTCTGACCATCTTGGACCCATTGGAATTGCTCTTCTTTGAAATGGTTGGAGGTTGCGATAGTTCTTTCCAACTTTTGTGCTAAAGGTGTGGCAATTCCATCACCAAATATCTCTGACCAATCCTTGGAAGATCTTCATTCCATATAGTTAACTATAGTTGAGATTTAACCCCAAAAATCAACATCCAACAGGGGACATCAGCCTGCCCAGCTTCAGTCGCCACAACCTTCCCACCTCCCCGTGCTGGGCAGTGCCCAAGAATCGTTCGAATCCAGTCGAATCCCGACCGAAGGCTTCAACGGTGATTGGATCATGAACCCTCCCAGAAGTTGAATTCAACACTAAAAAGGTCCAACTAATACACTCTTCTGACTCGTTTTGAGAAGGTATTGGGATCCCTAGGGGTTGGTGGAAAGAACTGCTGTTGAAGGGAGACATCCTGCGGAATCCTCCAACTTAGTCTAAGTGCTTTTTTCGTTCATCAAAAAATCCGATGGAACCTGGTAGCCCAGTGGCACGGTTGATTTTTAGACCAGCGAAGCTTCTGCGGTCTCCCATCGAATATATCGCTCCCTGCGCACTGAACCTCGAGTGCGCTTGAAAGGGAGAGGAGCCGCGCAGTCGCCTCGCATCGCGACGGGTGGAGATTTGCTGCATGAGCAGTCCCACCCAACGGGACAGCACCACTGACGAGTGGAAAATGGCGAGACCACCACTGTCTGTGCAGCGGTTCGCGTTTCAAAACAATTCGTGGTCGTCGAAAGGTTGATAGGATTTTTATCTATCGCTTCTGTGGCTGTTTGTCAAAAGACTTTGTCCAATCCGCTCTTGCCCATAATTTGTCAAAGTGGCTTTTCTCCTACTCCCCTCTTTCTTCGGGATGAAGGTGAAGTGTTTGTTGAGAGTGTGTGAGTGTCTATGTTTGTATATGTATAGAACCGGGATACCCCACATGTAAGTCACCTAGTGCATATTGGCCTGGGCGATGCGACCTTCAGCGGACCTTCTTTGGGAAGGCCACGGCGCTCCGCCCAGATCCACAAGCGAACCCAGGCGCATGGCGCGCACGCGGTCCCACCGTTGCAGCAGCCCCTACCACCTCAGGGGCAGGCCAGACGTCGTGCGACCTCGGGGGGTGGGGGGGGTGAGGTGAAAATGGGGTGGTGAGGTTTTGGGGTGGGCTGGGCGGAGAGAATTTACTGCTGGTTCTTCCTCACTCGCGTTCAGATCGTTGATTCTTCGATTCTGTGGTCCTTGCCATACGTCCAGAGCGACGCGACGTCGTGGCAAACAGGACGTGTCGAAACGGACATCAGCAGTTTCCCAAGCTCTTTGGGCTATTACATTCACAGTGAAAAAACATGCCCACAAGCTAGGTTGGAGACTCCACACGCACAAAAGAGGTGCTGAAATCAAGAGGTTTTGGAGGAAATGGGTGAGCACAAAAGGCTTGGTCACCCACGGCAGCGTGTGCTGAAATAACCTCATAAAGCACTGTGCTTCATTAGAATGACCTCAGCTCCAGTAAGATGAGGTCTTTGAAGCTGTGGGGTGTGACTGATTTCAGATGATCCGCAAATGCTCACAACGACTGCCAGCTCTATGGGCAGCACATGTATGGCCAGGGGTGGGGTCGCCAAGAGCTGGGCGAGCTGGGCAAGTCTGGTCGAGTCGAGCTTACACCAAGCACCGCTCATCTCCGATCTGAAGGGATGGCTTATGTCCCGAATCTAAAGTGGTTTGTGGCTTTGTGATCAAGCTCACCAACCTGAACTACTAATTAGAGAGACCAAGGAACGGAAAAATTCGGGAACCTCTGAAAAGGTCGAGCCATAGTACGAAGAAAAGCGGTGGGGAGACCAGTAGACCCCCCAAAAAAACACTGGAAGTCGACCTCGCGTCTCTTCGGACCAGAGGTGTTGGGACTCACCCCAAGGCTGGCCTGGCTCCCTTGACCGATTTTGGGGGAGTTCGTCTTTAAAGGAATCCACGGGGCAGGAAGAATTGCAAAGGGCATCGCTATTAGTAACCAGGGCATTACTACTAGTAGCATTCGTGCTACTAGTAGCTCCTGGCATTAATACTAGGAACAAGAAGCAATCAGGAACATGAACTGCATGGTGGTTGAATCGGTTGAATCAGCTCTCTCTTTTTGTAGGTCCGAGAGGTTCACCTGCCAAACGTGGTTGACCTCTCTGTTCCTTTTCGGTCAACCGGTCTCCCAGTGCTGAGCCATATACCAGGACCCTCCTGGCCAAGCTGTTTGGAGACCCCACAGGTGCCACAGGTGCACCTCTATGGGACGAGTCGGGTGGTATATAGATGGTCCTAAAGGATGAAACAAAAGACCCGCAGCTAAGATGATTGCATCATCTGCGCATCATCTGGTTTTCCTAACCGCCACGATGTGAAGACGGAGAGACTGGTAGGTCACCAACGAGGCGGTAGGATTGTAGGGTTTGATGTTTTAGATTGTATAAGGCTTGCCATGGACGTTTGTTGAGACGAATAAGGACTGATGAGTCTGAGAGGTGTAAGTCTCATTCATTTTCTACCAGATCCCCGCTTAGAAGTTTGCTGAGTTCTCACTCTCCAAATTGAGCTAAGACATGATGTCTTTGAACGCCCTAAGGCAACAGCTCTATGGCAGTCAGGCCGGATCCGCTGGTTTCTTCTTGCTGATGACTACAATCGGCTCCTGAGATTCGTTTCGGATGAAGTCCTACGAAGAAGACACCCTATATCACATAGAGCTCTGTGCACGTAGCTGCGAAACGAAGGAATGACGGAATGACGGGACTCTCCTGGCACGTACCCACCCCAGAGCCTGTGAGGCTATCCAACGGAGATTAAGTAGTGGGCTGGATACTCCAGACAGGACACTCCTTGGGTGGGTCCTGGAAGACAGAGGTGATGCCCGAAACACCTTGAAAGTGGACCAAGACCTCTTGCAGCTCAATCCATTTCGGAATCGATGGCCCCGACACACCGCCGTGATGCGGTGCGATACACGTTTTTTGGGCCTGTCGTGCATGTGGGGCCTTTGGGGGCGGTTTTGGTTCCCTTTCCAGTCCGACGCGTTTCAATGAGCAAGATCAGCCTTGCGGAGATCCTAACAGCATGTCTTTTGTTATTGTTTCATGGGGATGTGCCAACTGGACATGAGGAGTTTACTGTTCTTTCTCCAGCTGTGGAAGAATAGAAGCACGGGAGGATGGAGACCAATGGTATGCAGTATATAGCCAAGGACGTGCTGGTCAAATTCAAGTGTTCTTTTCAATGGGATCCAAGTGGATGTTAGTTTGAGGAGACACACCTTCAAGTGGACCCTTACTTGAGACCCAAGCCCCAGCCAAGTGGAAGGTGTATACACATTGAGGAAACCAACATGACCTCAATCAATTCAGTGACCTGAAGTATACAACGCGTTCCTGAAGAGAACGTGGGGTCCTTCTCACTTGAGCGACCACGACGTGGCATGACTTCAGGTCGCGTACTGTAGAATATGAGTCTGTCCCAGCTCCACCAGTTTTCCGTCGGCACAAGATGATTGCTATTTTACAGAGATGGTTGCAGGCCTGCAATCAGGCCCCATCATCCTCCACGGAAACCTGGTAATACCCAATGTATAGAATGTTGGACTTTTTTCAAGCCCTCCCCGACCACTTGTGACACGGACGGTGCAACCCTCTGAACAGGCTACGTCGTTCATCGAAGCTCCGCTGCGTCGTGCGAGTGGCGGCCGCGTCGATCGCCACTCGCCCGTCGTCGCAGGCATCCATCTATGGAGGTCGGGCGAAAGGGACACAGCGAAGCGACGGGACACACGGTCATTCCATGAGATCCCAGGATGATTCCATGAGAACTTGTTTGGTATGCCTTTCCCTTTTTTTGGGGGGGGTGGTTTCAGGGGTCAATGTAGGCAGATCTTGCATACATGGAGTGTTCGGGTAGTAGCTCACACCTTGATCTTTTTTGGTTGACATGTGAGTCCTTTCCCCCACTCGTCCTTTTCAGGAAGCCAGACCATCTGCCTGCAAGTGTGAGACCCCCCAAACCATTGTAGGTTGGTTGGTCTGGCTGGTTCTGTTCATGTTCCGAAAACCAACGGAGTGCGTGCCAATCCAAAACGCAATGTTCCTGCTCATCTTTGCTAATAATAATTGCATACAGGTAGACCGTGACAGACCTTTCATTCATTGCTACGGAGTACTTGGATGAAGCATAGTCTCAGCTACGACCACAGTCTTGTACATCCTGAATCCTAAATCTTCAACAAGTGTGGTTTGGCTAGGGATTTGAGAATTCCTTCCCCAAAAACGCTTCTTCCCTGTTGTTCATGGCCTAAATGTCATCACTTCCACGATTTTTCAAGCTTGTTTGGCCCAGAGAAACTCCTATAGGTCCGACCGGCAGAATGCCACACCCACGGTCACCCTGAAGCCACACCCGAACCGGCCGGTTCGCGGTTCGCGGTTCGGGTCGTCTGTTCGGTGGAGGCGGACTGCCAGTGCCGGGGCGCGATCCCGCCCGGGGCGCCCGGGGCACCGGACGCGACGCGGTGACGGACGGTGACGGGATGGAGCAAGTGATGCTGGAGATGGGATCGCAAGACTTGGAGAAGTTCGGAAGGTTCGGATTTGTTCCCGAAAATCGGCTGGAGATGGGATCCCAAAGATCCTGAGAAGGGTGTTACACCCCAACTAGCCCTTTCTCAGGTAGGCCAGGAGCCCTAGGGTTTGTGACCTGTTTGTTCTTCGGACAGATGAAATATGATCGGGCTGGGTGTTTTTTTTTTTTTTAATGCTAATGGTTTTTTTCTTATGCTCACAGCGGGGTTGGTGTGCTTTTGGGGTATGGGTTTCTTTTTTTATGCTTATAGTGCTTTTTTTATGCTAATGGTTTTTCTGTTATGCTTGCAGTTCTTTCTTTTATGCTCCTGGTTTCTTTTTTTATGCTAATGGTTTCTTTTTTTATGCTAAGGGTTCTTTTCTTATGCGGCACTGTGGGAAGAGGTCACGTTGGGGGGTCCTAGTGCAGAATGTAATTGTCAGGAGGGTTTAGTGCAGAATGTAATTGTCGGGAGGCTTTAGTACAGAATTTAATTGTCGGGAGGTTTTAGTACAGAAAGTAATTTTCGAGAGGTTTTAGTACAGCAAGTAATTGTCGGGAGGCTTGAGTACAGAAAGTAATTGTCGGGAGGTTTTAGTACAAAACGTAATTGTCGGGAGGCTCTAGTACCGAATGTAATCGTCGGGGAGTTTTAGTACAGAATTTAATTGTCGGGGGCCTTTAGTATCGAATGTAAGCATCGGGGTGTTACCCAATGTGATCGTCGGGGAGTTCTAGTAATCATTTGGCTCCAGACTTTTTCTGCCCAATATTGCACTGCGTGGCATAAAAAAAAAAGGTATGCTCGTCGTTGCTCGCGCACTTACATCGTGAGAGGGTCTTCCAAGTTGACTCACCCTTTGGTGAGCCACCCGAGGGTAAAATTTA